CCAGCAGTTATTGTTATTAATTAAGTTGATTTTATGGTTTAAAATCTAGTTTTATTTAAAAATGAGCTCACTGGTGGGCCGAACTGAGCTCACTCGTGGGCTTGATTTGGCCCCCGGACCGCCAGTTGAATAGCCCTGTCCTAAAGTAAAGAATCAAAACTGAAATTAACCATAGTATTTAATCATAAAAATATATATATATATATGGAAAAGTAGCTTACTTTGAAGGAATGCCTGTCGCCCACCACCTCTCAATGATCTGTTAGCCCTCAGTATATGTGTTGGGGGTGACTCTCAGCTACTGACACGCCAGTTGTAAAACTGATAGATGTTTCTGTTTGCTTTTAAAAACTGCGTTGTGGAACACCTTCTTAAAGTGAACTTTCAGTTTAGAACTTGACTGTAAACCAGATTCCTCCTTTGCGTTCAGCTTCCACCCATGCGGTCGTCATGTTACCACACATGCAGCTGAAACAACACCTGTGTGCCACATTTGGACAAAGAAGCAGCCTCGCGCACCCGTTTCACAACTAAAGCCCAGATAAAAGTTTCCAGAACCAAAAAGCACACACCGTCTTGTATTTTCACGCGCACTCTCTGAATGTGGCGTTGGCAGTGCAGGGGGCCAAGAGGAGCTAACATGCACACACACACAAATATGCACACACAAACGTCAAGAGACGATGAAAGTGTGCATCGGATAAATCAAGTGGACAAAGTGCAAAACCAAACAACTGTAGGGATTCGTTGTGTGATGAAGCATTCACACTACTGGGATCCATTTTCCTTCCTTACGTTTTTCTGCATTTTTCTTGTTCCACAATTTTTGTGCTATTTCAACAAATTAGAAATCAAAACGTTCAGCTCTTTCAGGACAATCCTGCTATGACTTTTGGTATTGGTACTTTTTGAAATATTTAGCCTTTTCTGCCACTTTTTTTTCTCATAGAAAATGAACTGAGCTCATTTTACATCCTTCAGCTCTTTAGATGTGTTTACAACCTTTTACTGCTCCTGTCACACTTTGTTCTGGTTCAGCTTCTTTCAGCTTCCTTGTGCAAATTTAAACTTTTGTTCAGCTACTTTCAGCTAATTTCAACTGTTTTTTAGCCGTTTTGTGCTCCTTTCAGATTCTTTCTGTTAACTACAATTTTTTTTGTTTCTTCTAACTTCTTTCTATTAATTTCAGCTTGTTCTGCTCCTTTCAGCTTATTTCTGCAAGTTTCAGCTTTGTTTTGCAATTTTAGCTACTATTTTGCTGTTTTATGCTAATTTTAGTTTTTTCAGCTAATTCCACATTTTTTGCCCTCATTTAAACTTTATTCAGCCTAATTCAGCAGAAATGTGCTCTCTCCACTTCCTTCTGGTAATTTCAGCTTCTTTCTGCCTTTTAAGCTACTTTTCAGCAGGTTTTTTTTTTTGTTGCTAGTTTAAGCTTTTTTTCAGATAATTACCACTATTTTGTGCTCATTTCTGCTTCTTTCAGCCTCGTTGGGCAAACGTGTTTTTTCTGCTTTCTTCTGCTAATTTAAGCTACCTTTTCAGCTGCCTTTTTTTTTTTTTAGTATTTTGTAGCTAATTTCAGCCGTTTTCAGATAAATTAAAGTTTTTTGTGGCAATTTCTGCTACTTTCAGCCTAATTAACTTCTTTCTGCTAATTTCAGCTTTTTATGCACATTTCAGCTTTTTTTGCTAGTTTTAGCATGTTTTGCTATTTCAGCTACTATTTAGCTGTTTTATACAAAATTTAGCTTTTTCAGCTAACTCCACGTTTTTAGCGCATTTCAATTCTTTCTGCTTCTTTCTATTTTTTTTATATTTTTTCTGTCCTTTCATCTACTTTTCATCTGTTTTTTTTATTACTAATTTAAGCTTTTTTTTAATCTACGATAATGTCCCAATTTTTGTGCTAATTTCTGCTTATTTAAACCTAGTTCAACAAATATATGTTCTTTCTGCTTTCTTCTGATTTCAGCTACATTACAGCAAGTTTTTAGCTAATTTCAGCAGTTTTTCAGCAAGTTCTTCAGCAATAAGCATTCACACATGTATTTTCACAGGAAATGCAATTTCTATAGTTTATCTTGTTTGTGTTTCTCTTTAAGGTTACAGATCAGGCCCACTGCAGCTCTCCCTTTCTAAAAAAAAGTGACCCGTTGAGACTTGTTCACATTTAATGAATGACTTCACATGTCTCCAGCTGTCAGACTTGAAGAGCTGCTGTGAATTCAACTGTCATTTCTCTCCTCTTTACACCTTGACAGGTACTTTAGTTCACCCTGAACAAGTGAGCTTACGTTATTTTTTTGAGTGTTACACCAGTTCAGGGAACTCCCCTGGACATCTCTGAGCGGCCACAAGAGGTTCCTGCTTCCCTGAACAGTGACTGACAGGTGGTGTCTCCTGTCCTTCACTGATCCGAGCCCTTCACTCTGTGCTGAAACGCATCAAGAAACATTTTCAAATAGTTGTTTTTAACAAATAAAGGACACGCTCCTTCTTTTATTGTTGGAAACATGTTACAAACAGGTTTTGATGCCTTTTTTAGTTTCATTACACATTATTCATTTAAACTGGTTTCCACTGAGAGCGGGTTCCCTTTCTTTCTGTGAAACATGACTGTAATGCTTCAAAAGGCCCTGTGAGTCCTTCCAACAGCGCTCGACACCCTGCGCTCCGCTCATGCAGAGGGACTTGGAGGTGCAAAGCCTTCGCACCATAGAAACAGATAAGGTAGCTGCACGGAGGCGGCTCAGAATATGCCACTAGAGTTGCACCTTCCTACGAGCATTATCTGTAAAATGTATCGCACCGTCTTATCATATCACCACAGTAGCCTCTGTGTGCTTGTTAAAACACATAGCTGAGCTGCAGAATCAAACAGGTTAGAGGTGCACATTTTACTTTTTATATCTGTCAGCTTATAATAAAGTCATAAATGGATAGTTGGACACTCTGAGAGAAATATTTTTATTCTGAGCTGTTTGATTGGGTCATTACAGCCAGAACTAATGACAGGTCAAGGTCAAATCTGCGGCTTTTTGAAACATGTTCCCTCTTGGTGCAACAGGACCATTAAGGTTTGTTGACTTGTTTTTGTCATTTGATTTTTTTTTTTTTTTTTTAATCTTCATTTCCTGTTTTGGTTTACTGATTTTTTTGTATACTGCGACTTCCTGTTTCTCACACCTGGTTTCAGTTTATTAGCACACCTGCAAAAACAATAAAATAAAATTAACATAACTTTTGTTATTTGGCACTGAGCAAGGATTAGCTCATTTTAAAAGAATACTACCGTGTACTTGAGTGCAGCCCGTGTGTCATGTGTTGCATTTACTGTCGAAACTTTAGGATAGTCAGGCCCTGAAGCACACATCGCTCAGTTTATATGAATGTTTAACATATGTTTTTATTATTTTTTTTATTATTTTGTTGGTCAAAAATTGTCATTTCTGGCTACCTACTTTTATACACATTGCTTTTTTTAAATATTCTTAGGAGTTCAAAGATAATAAAATCTCAACAAATAAGGGGGAAAACGGTACATTTACAGTAAATGTTTGTACCGTATTTTTCAGACTATAAGGTGCACTTAAAATCCTTTCATTTTCTCAAAAATCGACAGTGAGCCTTATGTATTAATTCTGATTGTGCTTGAACTGATTTTATGTGGTTATTGTGAATGAGTTGAATAAAGTTTGACTTATTGCACCTTATAGTCTGAAAAATACGGTAATTGGATGTTTAAAAAAATAAATAAAACGGTGCCCAAAATCAAAAAATGTCCATCCTGAGCAGTATGAAGTTCGAAATAGGAAATTAAAACCTCAATATAAATTTATGAGCTTTGACTGTAAGTACAGTTTGGATATTTCAATTTATATTTTGTATGATCCATTTATACTTTTCCACTTAAACAATCAGGTATGAAATCCAGGCAGATCTACGTTTTATTTCTTCATCTATTTTCTCTAAAAATAAGAGCTCATGAATATATATATATATTTAAAACAAACCTGAAGCCATTCAGCGTGATGGCACCATTAAATCCACATCTCAGACCTTTACTCAAACATCGTCCTAAACCATATGTGTCAAACTCAAGGCCTGGGGGACAAATGTGGCCCTCGTTAACATCTTATCTGGCCCCCAAGATGTTATTTTAAATGTAAAATACTTCTATGACTTTAATTTTTTCCAGTAATATTTGATTATTATGTCAAAAGTACAACAGAGAAGATCAAACGAGAGCAATAAAACTCTTGTTGAGGAACCTGCAACCAAGAAAAGATGTTGGTATCTAACTGGACTTAATGTAGATTCTGAGTCCTTAGTTTGAAAAAGGTTTTAATTTTGACCCCCCACTTTTTTAAGTGAGTTTGCCACCATCTTCCAGTTTTTGTGTCTTCGCAGGAACACGTACACACAAGCACATTTACAGCCACATGTTGTCCAAAGTTTTAGCGCTTTGTTCAGCTGAGGCTGCAGCTAAACAAACCAGTAAGCCTCTGATGTTCTGCTGCTCGTTGGACAGGAACTCTGTCATCGCCGTTTGTTTTTCCGGGTCCGAATAGGTGCGTATTTAAACTTAAACAGATGTGAGTCCGATGTTTTTTGAGCTGAAGTGGTGCAAAACTATTTCTAACACGACCAAGCCAGAAAACAAAAAACAAAAAAACAACAACAGCACAAGATCAGCTGAAAATGCTGTGAGCTGATCAAGTTTTGAACCCGTTAACGTGTGTCTGCTCCGCCAAGCCACAGTTCCATCAGAAGACGTTTTTAGTCCTGGCACTCGGGTTCTAATTGGTATTTGATGGATGCTGCAATCACGTCTTTGTCTTGAAATAGACCCGGAGGGGCAAACAGCGACCTTCTGGTCCTCGCCTCTCACATAAGCAGCACATACCGCGGCTCTGTGGCACGGCCAAGACAGGAGCTGTCTGTGGATAGGTGGAGAGAGAGACAACTGTCTTCCTGTCTTGTTAGGGTGCACTGACCTGCAGCGGGCCGCTGGCTGGCATGGTGGATCTGAGCGATGTCAGGTCCATGTCTCGGCCCTGCTCCCCCCTCTCCGTCTTCCCAAGTCCTTGCATGGTGAGGCCCGAGGCGAGCAGTCAAACACTCACAGCAGGGAAAATGCAAATGCAAGGGCGGCAGAGGTCGATGTGAGAGGAAGTTCCCCTGGACGCCAGGCACTGAGTATGGAGGACAACAGGGACAAACAAACGTCCCATTCACTCCATGCTGGTCTCCTCCTCTCACTCGTCCACACTGTCCACTCTTTCAGTCAGTCGCTCCGTTTTTTTTTTATTCTCCGTGTAAAATTTACAACATTTACTCTCAGCTACTGCCACACCACATTTCAGCTCGATGTCCGTGAAGTTCGCTGAGGTGTTGTCATTATTGAGTTGGCTTGACTCCAAATGTTTAGCAGCTATAGACGCAGAGCCAACAACCACTTTCTGAGAGATTTATTAAAATCTGTTTGGTAGTTTAGGAGGTATCAGTGGCTCTCGTGGAACTAATAGAGGAGATACATTTGTGTTTTTGTTGATTTAAAAAAAGGCCTTCGACACTATTGACTACACCATTCTCCTTGAAAAACTGGATAAATATGGCATTAGAGGATTAGCACTACAGTGGGTATAGTTATTTGAATAATAGGAGACGGTTTGTACAGGTAAACGATGTAAGATCTGGATATTGTGTTAATGGATGAGTTCCTCAGGGCTCTGTGTTGGGACCAAAGTTGTTTATTTTGTACGTGAATGATCTGGTTGATGTGTCAGCGCTTTTGAAGTATGTTTTCTTTGCAGATGAAACCACTTTTTTATTGTGTTCGGGTGAAGATATTGAACGGATGTTAGAGGTGATACAGGCAGAATTTGTAAAAACACAAACGATTCCAACTTAATCATTAAATGTGGGGGAAAAAAAACTGCATGATATTTAGAAACAGAAAAATAATTATCAAAGTCCCATTTAAAATTGACAGTATTGAAATTCATAGAGTTAATGAAATAAAATTTTGGGGTGTTGCTATCGATGAGAAGCTGACATGGAAATCTCATGTAAATTACTTAAAAATAAAAATAGCAAAATCAATTGCATTACTGTATAAAGTAAAAGAGTTTTTGAATGACAAAGCTTTGTATATATTATATAATGTAATGATTGTTCTATATTTAATCTATTGTATTGAAGTTTGGGGAAAAGCATGCAAAACAATTAAATCCTTTTTTTATTTTACAAAAATAAGACCTCCATTTAGAACTAGTCTGAAGGATTGCTGCGTTGTAATTCAGGGAATGTGGAATTGTGTTGATATCACATAAAAAATTCTTAAACAGTTTATGTTTCAAAAAATGATTAAGTTAAAATTGTTAGGAAAGTTTGGTGCCAAGTGAAGGATGCCTAATATTTTTGTTTTCACTTTTGGAGATGTTCAAGTCTAAGTTGTTGTGTGTTTAAAGTTATTTTATATTTTTTTCTATAAGGGGCAGATATTATAATTTTTTTTTTAATTCTTTCTGCACCCTTTTCATTCAATTTTCTTTTTGCTGACTTTGTTTTGTTTATTTTCTTTCTTTTAAATGAATGAATAAATTAATTAAATAATAAATAAATATTTTGCTAGCAGACGAATGAAGTTGTTAATACCAATATATTATGGAAAGCTACCACACAATGTGTTCCCCTTAAAATATGCGTTGAGGACAATGGTCAGCTACTACCACACCAAATTTTAGCTCATTACATGTAACAATAGCTGAGTTGCTGTCATTTATGTGTTTTATGAGAACAGCTGGATTTGGCAGCCATATTGAACTGAGTTGACTCCAAAATTGAAACAGTTGTAGACATCAATTGATTGATTACTGTCTGTAAGTTTCATTAAAATCCATTCAGTGGTGCATGATATATTTTGCTAACAGACATATACACAAACTCGCAAAAACACAGCCGTGTCTTTTTTTTTTCTCTAATGACACTTCATCACACTCCTATGAACTCTTTTATTCCCAGCAGAGTGCTTGTTGGGTTTTTGTGGTTTCTCCAGACTTCCACGCTGTCGTCTTTCAAGGATTTGGTTTTAAAGCTGCTCAGGAGCCAATAATGGCCCTTTTGACCCGTGAATCTGCGGTTGGACTGAATATGTTCCAGGTTGAACTCAAAATTAGAGGTTAAACCCAAACTTTCCCGCCCACATGTTCTTCTGTTCCTTGAAACTAAACTAAAAATTAACTTTTCAAGCAGCCAAATTCCTGATTTCTTTAAAAAGAAGAGCGTCTCAGACTTTGTCAGTTCCTTCTGATAAAGATACCTCCTAAAATAGATGGGTGGAGTCGTATAAAGATGTTTTTTTTGTTGTTGCTTTCAGCGCGGTGTTCCTGAAAGGTGGATAAATCCTTCAACCTCCAGAGCAACACAGCAAAAGTAAAGATGGAAGATGAGGAGAGTTGTGGTTGGAAGAGAAAGAGCCTCTCGTGTGTTTGTGTACGCAGGACTCGCCTCATTTCTTTCCATTTTGCTTTCAAAGAACAAAACTATTTTCTGTTCTTCCAAAGGGCTCTTGAGCAACGGCTTTCTAGGATTTCTAAAACTGTTTCGACAAATCGTGACAATTTCAGTCCAGTACGTGTATTTAATCATTTTCAAAAGGGATCTTTTGTATTGGCTGCTTAAACTTCCTAAATAAACCGATAATGTCTGAAAACTGATAAGTCAGCAAAAAAAAAAACAATGATCTTTGAGGCACTTCATTGCTGTTCGATTGCTGCCAAAACACAGCTTTTATTCCCATTTATTTAAATGCATCTTGTCTGAATATGTCAAAATTGCATTATTTTTTACAAACAATTGTAATTTTTCAAAAGCTGTGAGTTAAAATGCTCTTATTTTGGTGAGCAAGGAATGCTTAAATAAAACTATCAGCAAACCAGAAAAGAGAAAGGCCCCAAAAACATACTGTATGAGTAGCAGATGAATTTTTGGTTGAAGTTATATTTTTGAGAAATTAGAGTAAAAAGCACTCAAGACTTGCATGAGACATATTCCATCTTTTATTATTTAATGATCTTGATGGAAAAGTGGTGGACAAAGACTTTAATTTGAGAAGAGAAAGAGACAAAAAGGCTACGATAACTAAAAATTAAGCTCAAAAAAAGTCTTGTGGAGTGATCCATTATTAGTTTAAATTATCTTTAAAATTAAAGAACAGAAAATAGTTCATGCATCTATAAAACACGGTGGTGGCGCTCTCATGATTTTTGTACTAAAACATATTCTTACATTATAAAGGGGAAAATAAAGGAACACGAGTTTTCATCACCTGAGCTCAGAATCGAGACGAATTTAAAATGCACACACACACAAAAATAAAAGCTTGAAGAACTATCTCTTAAAAAGAAAAAGACAACGTTTGCTAGTTTGAAGGTTCAGATATGAAAAGCGTTAGATGTGGAGTTTGAGACAAACACGCCTCGGGCTTAAATTCAAGGGAAATTTGTAATAAAGAGCTACAGTTTATAAATAGGACTGACTTGAACTGACTTGATGGGAAACCTGAGAAACAAAGGAGCTGGCTTTCATTCGTGTATAAATCTTTTCAAGTACGCTTTCAGCAGGTTGTAATTTGCCTGCAGTTATTTGAATCAATTTAAAATATCTGTTTGTGAAGATGAAAGCCATAAACATTCCTTCTCACAGAAACCTGCTGTGTATAGATGAGTGAAGTGAATCAGTGTGGCTTGGATCGTTGTGAACATTTAAAAATTTTCTAATAACAAAAAAATAGCTAGGTTTAAAACTGTTCTTTTGCTTATGCGAGCATTAGCAGTCAGCTTCTGTGCAGACAGGAACCACTGCCCAGACGTGGGATTTACAGTAAATGCTAAAAAAAAGCAGTGCAGCCTAAAAGAAACTAGAAATTTAAAAATTTGATTTGACAGTACTATGTGTTAAGGTTCACTCTCAGCTACAACCAAACCAAATTTCAACTCAATATCTCAAAGAACGACTGAGCTATAGTCAATTATGTGTTTTCTGTGGTAGCTGTGGCAGCCATCTTGAACCAAAATGGCTCCAAATGTTAATCAGTGTTTTTTATTCAGAGACCTATCCTCTCTAGGTCATGTGACCTCACTGTGGCGGATAGAAGCAAGTTCTGTCAGGCTTTTTTAATGGAAAAATGACATTTGTTTGCAAATTACGTCGTCATGGTAACTCAAAACGCCAATAACAGCAATAGCACACATCACAGTACCGAGCTGGTCGTTTTCATATAACATTTGTGGGGGTACACATTGCAGTTCGAGCCACATTAAAGTTGACGGAAGAGTAAGCTATAAAGTTAAGAAACCCAAGGTCAGGTGGATAATAACAGGAGGCTGCCTTATACTAGGCAGTCCCCAATTACCATAAACTCTGAAAAAGCTGCTCTGCCTACAATAAATTATTGTAAATATAGTCAATTGTATTCGTCTTTTTTTTTTTTAGTTATATTATTTTTTCTACTAAAACTTAACACTCTGTTAGGGCCAGATTAGTTTTAATTTGGGTCCAGATTTGGACTTTAGTGCACCATTTAAGGACCTTTATAGCCACAGAACAAGTTGAGCCATTGGACACATATAACCAGTTTCACACAAATAAATGAGAAGTTCTGGGTCACACAAAGGCACAAAGTCTTTTAGACACTGAAATGACCGGAATTTGACAGAACATGAACACGTCAGAAACCTAAAAAATATAAATTTGTTTGTGGTTTCATCTAATGACCTGTAGCTACGGACCTTTCAGGCTTTTTCTATTGTAAACAACTGCCAACACTGACAAGTACCAACAGGAAATGAGAATACTTTATTAAAAATATGGTTCAGTTTGAATTCTAGGAACACCTAAAGGATAAATTCTAAGAACTTCAACAAGTCTTAAAATTGTGAGATTATTTTAAAAGTGCTTTTTGCAAACAGCTTCTGTGTTTTGTGGCCACGAAATCTTGGCAAACATTGACTTTCACTGGAGGCCTGAAGATGTCAGACGTGGAGCCGAGGCTTG